TTATTATTATTATTATTTTTTATACATATCATCTTCCTAGGATTCTCATCTCTGAGATCTTATAGCTCTTATTGATATTGTTTAATTTAATAATCATCCAAAATATAAATAACACTCGAATCATTTTCTTCTGCATTGTTGTTTTGGCTCGGCGTCCACGCAATAATTATCAACATCCATACGTAAAATGCATTGTTTTCTATTTTAGTAGTCGTGATTCTAATTAATCTAAAGTCAATGCTAATCTTCGGAACATGTAATATAGTCCGTTTAAACGTATACAATAGCAGGAAGATGATTTTAATCCCCTAATCGCATTAATGAAATTAATCGTTAAACCATTAACCACCATATATTATAAAGAAACTACATATAGTACTGAAATGTTTAATTTAGTGAAACAAGGAACACGTAACGATTAGAGATGGCAAATGGATTAAAGCTTCGAGAATTAATATATTTAAAGATCTAGTAATTTTTTCTCTATTTGAGGTTATGTGAGTATTGGTCTAAATGCTTGTTTGTCATTTAGCTATTTTAGGCACTGTTGTGTGAGTTTTGCATGAGATAAAGATATGAATGTGAGCTTATACACCCTTGATCAAAAAAGAAAAAAAAGAAGCGGACGTAGTACATTTGATGATCTAATTTGTGTTATATAAAATACAGTTTAATTTTGGGATTAATAAAGCAAAGAGGGAAGAGATTAAAGGCGCAGAAAGAGGATCCTAGGCTCGAGGGTTGTCAAGGGCCTATGAAAGTCTATTAACATATGATTACTCCACGTTCCAACAATGATTTAGGCTTTTTGCTAGATTCAAAAATACAGTGTTTATAGACTTATATTCATCTCGATCATAGTATTACCAACTCAGATTAAAACAAACTAAATTAACTTGTTTTGGCGAAAATTGTTGTTAAAGCTTAATATGAAGTATATTTAATCCTCGGGGTTTACTGTTAATAGTTTATTTGATTCTTCTAGTAATTGTTTCATCTTCACTCTTCTAATTTTGGTTCAGGTTCTCCTTAACTTCTCAGGTTTTAGCGTATTTACTTTTAGATGTAGTAATTTGTGATGTGCATATATTTTATGGGAACTTGTAAACTGCAATCACATTACCGAAGAAGAGTATCGATTCGTCTTTTGTATATAAACTTTACCAATCAAAGAGATTCGCAAAACTCTTGTGACCCCTCGTTGACCCTTCTACAGAGTCAACCCCTGTAAATATGTTACATATTTACCGTGATTATGAGTCAAAGTTTGTGATTGGTAAATTATAGAGTAACTGAGAGTAAATGAAATGGAGTAACTAGGAGAAAAAATAGTAGAGTAATAAAGATGAAAAGTAATAAAAGCCAAGAGTAATTCATTTCCCACTCCAAAAACAATGAGGGAAAAAGTGCAATATATACTCTAAACAGTACCAAGCGTAAGAGAGAAAAAAATTGTTTCAGTCACACCTAAATTATTACCACATATGTTACTTTCTTAATACATGTATATATATTATATAGAAACAGAGTCGACTCTGAGAATTATGGGATCTAAAGCAATTATTTAACGATTTCACGTATTATGAATTTAAATTATAAATTACAGCTTTTTGTGGTATGAACTTTTTTCCTTTATACGTTATTTAAGAAATAATTGACCAGCTGTCATTATCAGATTGATTTTGGAAGAAATAATGACATGACATATTAATAATATGTTGACATGGTTTGAAACTATTATAATATGAACATTTACATTTTATATTGATTTATATTTTTGATAAATTTTTAAAATATACAATAACTCATATATCATTATTAATATAATAATAAATAATATAATATTATTTTATTATTTTTATTTAATTTTTATAATTATTTAATTTTTATTACTTCATTTTTTTCAAAATTAGTAATTCTTAAACAATTATAATTTTATAATTTCAATACCGTTATTTTCTTTTTAATATCTACATATTAGAAATATTAGTTTTATGTTTTGATAATTATATACCTAAAAAATTCTTTCTTAATTTTATAAAATTTGATTTGATATATTTTAACCAAAAAAATAGATAAGAAAATATTTTCAAGATTATAATTTTAAATATATACATAAATATTTTAAAAAATAAAGTTAATTTGAAATTATTTATCTGAGCTTAATTTTTTACATAGAGTTAATTTAAAATTAAAACAAATATTGTAAGTAAATAATAAATTTTTAAAATAAAATATTTTTGTATATAATTTAAATTGAGAAAACATACTAAAAAAATGTTTTTTTACTATCCCTCAAATGTCCAATATGTTAAGTATATATCTTTCTACTTGCCACTTTTTAACCATTTAAAAAAAAAAAACTGATTGAGCATGCAGTCATATTAATCTTCTATATGAGAGTCGCTCTATATTGTTTATTTACATATTTTTGTCTGCTCAGCATATCTTCCGTTAATCATTAGTGTTTCCTTTGTTAGTAACAAGCGTAATTCTTAATTGTATGTTTGGTACTTTTATCTGAACTTTGAACTTCGAACTTCCAAGTCATATGGTTAATTTAAAAATAAATAAACAGGGGTTTTGTTACAAAAAAAAGTTAAAAATTAAAACAGGGGTTTTCCAGAAATAAAATAAATTGAAAATAGGAAGAAAAAATAGAGAACGTTTTTCTCTTCGTTGAACTAAGTTGTCGTGAAAGATTTTGAAAATAAACTGCACACTGTGTACCTATCTTGTTCTGACAAAGTCATTTTAGATATTCAACTATTTTAGTTTTACCACATTTTATTTTAATCTTCTGACCAATCTTACCAACCAATTGTTCGCAGTAAATTTGACACATACGAGGGAAGAGAGTAGTTGTATTTTTCATCGACACAATGTTTTATTTGGATTGTTGCAATTTAATCTGTACAATAATCTACAAAATAAAAAGTAATCTTCCAAGATGGATGCGAAACCGTGTGTATAATCTTACTGTTATTATATTAATATTGATATTATTAGAGTTAGATGTGAATTAGTTGAAACTCAGCAAAGTGAAAGACGGTGATCTAATACGATTCAACCTGAGGCCACTTTTGAGCAAAAAAGCGAAAATCAGTATGATACACAAGTTTTAGAAATGAGTGTAGTCTAGACTGGGTAGATTCAGCTAGTCACTGATTCAAGAAATGATGGGCAAGATGTTCTGAAATTTTGACTGTGGTCAAATGTGTCATGATAGTGGAAGTAAATTATTGACCATCCAAAAATCTCGCGGGGCGAATTCTTCTTTGACATGACCAGATGATACATAATCTAACAAATACAATATAAACTCTTTAAATTTATAAACATAATTTTTAATTTTTAAATTAAAATTTTGATTCAATTAATATATTGATAAATTAATAATTTTTATAAATTAGTAAAAAATTATAATTTTAATGTAATCCTAACATTATTTTTTATAGAGATTACACTATAATGATAATCCACTTTCTTTCATTTTTTCTGTTTAATAAAAGGAATTTCAATTTACTTTTTATTTGGGGATTTAAAATGAATAAAATTGGTCTAAGAGAAACAACGTATATGTGGGTATATTTAAAAAAAAAAAATTCAAATTGATGTATACACTTGTTTTGAAATTTTAGGTAAAATATTTGACAGCAGATTTTGATATGGAACAACGATAATTATCTCTTGAAATAATGAAGGTTGAATAAAAAAAATTCAAATTGATGTATACACTTGTTTTGAAATTTTAGGTAAAATATTTTACAGCAGATTTTGATATGGAATAATAATAAATATCTCTTGAAATAATGAAGGTTAAAAAAAAAAAAGAATATTATTTGTGACGCATATAATATGAAAGACTAGCAAACATATGCTATGGACCCCACCATGTTTTTCAACTTGATCACATCTCTATTTCACCCAAAAAAGAAATAAAAATTACACCAAACCCTCCCAGAAATTAAGAAGAAAAAAAGACACTTTTACTTTCTCCTTCTTCTCCTCCTCTTCCTCCTCCTCTCTTTCTCTCTGGATTCTCTTCAAGCCAAGGCCATTTAGGGTTTATTCGAGCTCGTTTTCTTCAGTCTCTTAACAAAAAGCTTATTAGCTCTTTTCATTGGGTAAGCCTTCTTCTTTATTTTTATTTTTGGCTATCTTCATCCGTACGCCTTCATTTGCACTTTTTCTTCTTCTGCAAATCTCTTTGTTTGCTTTAATGTCTTCATGAGATTTTTGGAACGTATTCAGTGGTGGGTTTCTCTAAATTTGTTTCCTTTTTATTATAGCCTTTCGTTTTCTTAATGTTCCCACTGACCTTTGTACAGTTTAGGTTGTTTTAATTTTCTTGGTTTATAGCTTTCTTCTCGCATTTGAAATCACTCTTATTATTTGGTGAACTGAAAAAAGGAAATATTAATATTTAATTGAATCCTCACTCCAGCTACATGTTCTTTGTATCCTAATATGTATTCAAGCTTTCAAGAGATCTGAGATTTATTTATCTTTCATGGCTCAAAGCTTTTTTCTTGACGCGGTTTGATTTTGCTGTAAATGGTTGGTTCTGTTTCTCTTCTCATTACTCAACTAACTTTACTTTCAATTAACTCTTTATTTTTTTCTATGAGAGTTTTGCCTTTTAAAACGTGTTCTTTTTTAGCTGTTCTAATTTTATAGGTAATATCTCTCTATATCTGTACTTTGTGTAGGGTTCATGATTGAGTCTTCAAACTATAATGACCTTAACCTACTTTAGATCTCTTGTTTTTGTTTGTTTGTTCCATTACATAAACATTGCTCTTTTTCATTTGAAGTTACTCTTTCAATTTAGACCGTTCTGTTTTTTAATAGCTTTTGCTTATTGTTCTGTTTCAGGTAACTATTTGTTGTTGGAGGAGAAGCTTTAGAAACAGACCATAGAAGATGAATAGCTCTGCACCGGTTTGATTTTTTTCTTCTCAAAGATTTATATACTGTGGAAGCAAAAAGAAGTTGCAATGGGATCTTTTGCTGGTTCTTGTGAAATTGTGGAAGAGAAAGATGAAGTGAGACTATCAAAACATTCAGGGAGATACGGTAAGCAGAGAGAGTATCACGGTTCTCTTGAGTATGACATTGATAAGCTTTTTCAGTCTATACCCGTGAAACCACCGACGAGGCTGTTAAGTTCTTCCTTCCATAACATTGAGACAAGTGCGAGTGCTGGTCCGAGCAGGACCACAAGCCCTTCAAAGAGAATGGCCATGAAGAAGCCAGGGACGCCTCAGTCTCCTAGAGTTCTTGGTCTCTCTGACTCGCTTTCTTTGAAGCAGGCTCTGAGGGATCGCTGCATTTCCAAGGCTTCGGAGATGGCTGCTCAGAAACGGTTGTCTAAATCTGCAGCTGCGTCTCCTAGGGTCTCTGAAGCAGACAGGATTAAGAGTTTGTATAATCAATCTACTACTAGAGTTGTTCCTGTGGACAAGGGTAAAGGAGCCTTGGTTGACGAGACATGTTTGATTCCGGTAAACAATGATATACCAAGCACTTCAAGAAGCGTGTCTCAACGGTCTGAAGAGCCTTCTAACCCTGTTTCTGAGCTGGAGATTAAGGAGTTGCATAAAGCCAACAGATCTGGGTCTTGTCTAAGTTCTGGAAGTGGAGATTATGAGATAGAGTTAGATGAAAACGTTGCCTCAACTTCTTCTACTCAAGCGTTAGAAGATGATGTGCAAGAAGTAGACAAGCATGTTACCTCTGATTCTAGCAAGAAAGATAATGCAGCAGAGCCTGAAAAGAAAATTCTCTCAACCACTCTAGATTTGAAGCAGAAAGGGAAGTTGGATGATGCACCTGGCACAGGAACAGAGAAAGTACGCAAGGTAACCAGAATGATCCCACGTCCCAAACAGCAACCCAAAAAGAAGATTTTGGTTAAGAAGAAGTTAAAAATTGGGATAGTTTCTGTAACAAAAGAGGATGAAAAAACCAATAAACTCGTCTGCCAAAGATGTCACTGTTCGTTGAAGAGCACCAGCATCAATAACCAACCTCCCTCGTATACTACTACTCATACACCAGATGGTTTGACTTCTGTCTCAAACAATGTTGGTAAAGAAGCTCATCAAGTAGCTGATGAGAACTCCTCTGGTTCTTGTAACATTAGTCAAAGCTCCGAAGCCGAGATTGTCATCATGAAACAAAACGTTTCCTCGAGCAATGACAGTGGAAACAAATTCGAATTCTCCCTGAGTTCAAAAGACAGTCTTGGGGATGATTACAGCAGGAGCACAAGCATGAGCGAGGAGAGCAATTTAAGCAGGTTTAGCTGTGGGAACAAGCCTCACATGTCCATGGATGTGAGATGGGAAGCTATAAAACATGTCAAGTTGCAGTGCGGTTCTTTGGGTTTAAGACACTTCAACCTTTTAAAGAAACTCGGTTGTGGAGATATAGGAACAGTCTATCTGGCTGAGTTGATTGGTACAAACTGTTTGTTTGCTATAAAGGTTATGGACAACGAGTTCTTGGCAAGAAGGAAGAAGAGTCCAAGGGCACAAGCAGAACGTGAAATACTTAAAATGCTGGACCATCCTTTTCTTCCTACGTTATATGCTCAGTTTACTTCGGATAACTTGTCTTGTCTAGTCATGGAGTATTGTCCTGGAGGAGATCTTCATGTCCTTAGGCAGAAGCAGCTAGGTCGATGTTTCCCTGAACCAGCAGCAAGGTAAAGACTATTTACCTTTGTTAAATTTGTGGCATCAACATCATTAGTTTGGTTTAGGCATGCGGGTTCGGTTAGTTCGAGTTATTTGGCTCGGGTAGTTCGGTTCAACGTAAATCTTACCAAATTAACCCGAAATAAAGTTTGGTTTGGTAGTCAGCTAGTTCGGTTTTTGAAAATCCTATCGAAGTTTTTGAGTTTGGTTTAATTTTGTTAAAATTTTGGATGAATTCGGTTAATTTCAGTTTAGTTCGATTAGTTTTGTTAGAAATTTGTTAGTTCGATTTGGTACTCGGTTAGTTTGGTTTTGAAAATCTTACTGAAGTTTTTTGATTTCGGTTAGATTTTGGTTTAATTTTGTTAAAATTAAGGAGAAATTCGGTTAATTTCAGTTAAATTTGGTTAGTTCGGTTCAGGTTTTGGGTGTAGTTTGGGTATAATTTTTTCAAAGAAGAAAACCTTTACTGCACCGAAACCAATTTTTTTTATAAAAAAAACTACCGAATAGAACCAGACTTGTAACTTGTAACTTGTAACCGAACGAACTGAACTAACCAAAGTTTTGGTTTGGTTCGGTTCAAAATCCCAGGCCTAGTTTGGTTAATTGATGATGTAAATTTTGTTTTTCAGGTTCTATGTAGCTGAGATCCTCCTTGCACTGGAGTACTTACACATGCTTGGTATCATATACCGAGATCTGAAACCTGAAAACATTCTAGTCCGTGAAGATGGACACATCATGCTCACAGATTTCGACCTCTCACTTCGATGTGCAGTAAGCCCCACTCTTCTCAGATCAACTTCTCCTCCCGATCCCGCTAGAATCTCAGGTCCACACAACACATCCAACTGCATACAACCCTTCTGCATCACCGAACCATCTTGCCAGGCTTCCTGTTTCAGTCCAAGACTCTCCTCAAACCAACAACAAAGTCGAAAACCGAAACGTGCTACTGATCATCTTGTGAAGAGATCATCATTGCCTCAGCTCGTGGCTGAACCAACAGAAGCAAGATCCAACTCCTTTGTGGGAACACACGAGTACTTAGCCCCTGAGATCATTAAAGGAGAAGGACACGGCGCCGCGGTTGACTGGTGGACTTTCGGGGTTCTTCTTTACGAGCTTTTATACGGGAAAACACCTTTCAAAGGCTACAACAACGACGATACTTTGGCAAATGTTGTATTACAGAACCTCAAGTTTCCTGATAGCCCGCTTGTGAGCTTCCAGGCAAAGGATTTGATCAGAGGGCTTCTGGTTAAAGAACCGGAGAACCGGTTCGGGTCAGAGAAAGGTTCTGCTGAGATCAAAAGACATCCTTTCTTTGATGGATTGAACTGGGCTTTGATCCGGTGCGCAACACCGCCTGAGCTGCCGGATTTGTATGATGGACCTGGCTCACCAGGAGGCAATGATGATAGGTATCTTGAATGTAAAGCCATAGGGGATCATCTTGAGTTCGAGTTGTTTTAAGTTAAAAAAGGTTCTTTATGCTTAAGACTGGTAAAAAAAGGTATTCAGAGTAAACGTTGTTGTAAGCTATTATGTCTAATATGTAAATTTTAGTCTCTTCTGAGATTATGTAATCTCATATGTTCCACCAAACTTGTCAACTTGCAATCATTAAAGAGTAAAGAAGAAAAGCTTAAAAGAACATCATCAGCTTGGGCTCCTCCTCACTTTTTTAACTTTTACTTTTGGCGGGATTGCTTGTTTTTGATTTTGGAATGGTGTAGTAAAAGCAAAGCAACTTCGTTTCAGAAGTTTAAATTGAAGCAAAAGCAAAAGACAAAACTTAAAAGTACATATATAGATGTTGGGAGAGACTTGTTTGTAATAAACAAGAAAGAAAGAGACAAGAATGAGTATCAAGAACTCAGGAGTTGCTGCTTCTGCAGGTAACACCAACGGTAAGCTTCCAATGGAGGAGAACGAAGATGAAGAGATATGGAGAGTGGCGGTGTCGAGGTTTCAAGCACGAGAAGAGGAGATAGAGAGGAAGAAGATGACTGTTAAGGAGAAAGTTCAACAGAGGCTTGGTTTTGCAGAGGAAGCTACAAAGTGCTTGACTCAAACATTGGAAGTAAGTTCATATTCTTTTTTAGAGATTGTGACATAAAGAAGTTGATATTGTTGTAATACTAAAACAGGAGCTGGAGATCATGGGAGATCCTATGAGAAAAGAAGTTGGAATGGTGAGGAAGAAAATCGACATGGCGAATCGAGATATCAAATCTTTAGCTCAAAGCTGTCAGAAGAAGGTTTTTTCACATTTTTTCACTCTTATAATGAAGAGTTAAGTTTTTAAAACTTATGTTTTAACAGAAGAGAATGATTTATGGACAGGAGAAGGAATACAAAGAGACATTAGAGGCTTTCAACGAAAAGAACAAAGAGAAAACTCACCTTGTTTCCATGTTAATGGAGGTAAACTATATTCAAAGACTTAAAAGCTTTGTAGATTCATACAACAGATCTAATGTGTGTTGATGACTTATTTTTTCTTTGGAAGCTACTGGCTGAAAGTGAAAGAGTAAGGATGAAGAAACTGGAAGAGATCAACAAGACTGTTGGAGCCTTGCAATGAGAAAGAAACAAAAGAATTGGATGTCACCTTTTAAAAGAGTCTTAAAATTTGTTTTGAGGTTTTTGTATTAGAGTCTATTCAAGTCATCTCTATTAAAAGTGAGCTACCATGTAACATGTTTGCATCTATATAAGAATATGATCACTTCCATAAATAAATTTCTTAAAAGAGATACTGGTTTCACAAAAAAAATTAAAAGATCAGTGTACTCAAATCTGTAGCCATCAAGTCAATGTTTGGTTTCTTCCAGAGTAGAACACTGAAAGCTAAGTACAAGAACTGCAATACTTATCACCAACATCTAACCCAAGAAACTGCTCAGGTACTTATGACAAACTTATCACCAACATACTTAAACTTAAGACATAAATATCTGCAGCTGCAAGAAAGAAAACAATTCAAAGCAGGCAACTAAGGCCCAACAACATCACCAGAACAAAACAATTCAGAGAAAAACCATCTGCAGAAAGTGCAGATTCAAATAGGACTTGATTTGTTTTTTTTTTTCAACACTTCCTTCAGTGAAAGACTTGAGTTGATATTCCCATTTGTTGAAGAACACTTGACGTAGAGGAGGCTGACCTCAAGGCTTCAGCCAATGGCCCACCCATATTGTTGTGGTTCCCTCCACTGCTCCACCAGTTCATGTTTTGTTGCTGCTCCCTCTCATTGTTGTTTCTCATGTTTGCTTCTTCTTCTTCTTCATTTCCTGTAGAAAGCTTTAAGGAAACGTCTGAGGAAGGGTTACCAGGCATGGAGATGGAAAGATGAAAAGTTGATGAGCTCATTTGACTTGAGGTAGAGTCAGATGATCGTGGCCAATCATCAAAGAAAGGTCTCAGGATGTGACCATCATCTGATCTTCCGTTACTGAACCCATTGTGAGCTTCATATGGCCTCTTGTTGTTGTTGTTGTTGTTGCTTTCTTGTTTCATGTCTGAAGGACAACTGTGAGAGACAAAAATATAATTAGAACAAGACATGATCATTGTCACAAAGAAGATCCAGACAGTGAACGTTTCAAACCTTTTTTATCCATTTAAGTAGAGATTAAAGACTGATTTGATTCAGTAACCATATCCTACTAATTGAACATAATTTTCCATTATCAAAGTGTAAGACTGGTTAGAGAAATAAATAAATCAATAATATAAGTTATTGGTTTTTTCCTGAAATGTGTTTTTGAGGGGAAGTGGTTGCAGAATCTGAGAGCTTTTGTTTTTCTTTCATGCAGGTTTGGTCAGCTTTCACTGAGACCCTACCATGTCATTATTTTCAAATACATAACTATACTCTCTCTTTCTGATTGAAAAGTTAGATTCTCTATCACACATCCAATTGTTATCATTATCTCTCAACAAACAAAAGAAGAATATGTTTTTATTTTCTCAAAATGATGATAACTCTCTCTCTGTCACCCAGTTGCCAACATTACCCCTTTCCTCACAGCATCAATTCACAGTGGAGAATAACTATTCCCATATCCCAAACAACAAGATTTTTAATCATTTCAACACATTTAAACAAAAGCTATCTATTAAAAACTTTGTCATTAGTATTCTGCTATTATACAAAACACTTGTCTTAACACTCTCAAAGACTCTTGACCAAAGCTAACAATATTAAACAGAATGTTATTTATTGTGTACCTTTGATGATTATTAAGGTGGAGATGTTGAGATGAATGATGTGAAGAGCCGGAGGAAAAGAAGAGATTGTTTGGTCCATGACCAAGCTCCTCGCCTAAGACAAAGGAAGATGCTGCGTTTGTGGCAGCATTTGTGGTGGGAGTTTTGGCGGTTTCCACAGGCTTTCTTGAACGGTTTCGACCACGGTGGATGTGGCGGTCGCAATACTTGTGACCGCCTACAACATCCCTTGAACATCTCCATTTCTTTCCGTCCGTTCTCTTGCACCTTCCTGGCTCAGGATCCATTGCTCCTCTCCCCCAATACCCTGTGTGTTCATTAGTAAAACATGTTGTTACTAACAACCAACAAAAAGTCTCACTCAAGAGTCAAGACAGTGACTAAGAATGTTTCATAAACCCAACTCTGTTTTGTTCTTCTATGTTGCTCATAGATCTTCTAGAAAGGTTTAAAGTCCTTTGCAGGATTGAAAAAGTAAATACTTTATTTTTTAAAGAGTCTATGGATTGGAAGTTTTTCTAGATCTTGAAAGATTCTTTCAGTGGAGTTAGAAGTATAAACAAGAGTGAGAGAGACTCACAAGAAGCTTGGTGATGAGGGAAGTCATGTTGCAGAGGATGCTGAAGGAAGTTCAAAGAAGATTGATGGAAGAGACTTTTCTTGATTGGTAAGAGGAGCTCTTGAGGAACAGAAGCACCAGCCAACATGTATCTGTAGATCAGTGCTTGTAGCTCAAGTTCTTGCCACTGTGCCCAGCTAAAGAAGTTTCCCATCTCTACAAATTTAACATACAGCTCAGTCACAACTTCAAGATTTGAGTGAAGAAGTCTTTGCCCTTTACAAAAGAAAAAACAGGAAACACTTACTGAGATGCCTCGTAGAGGAAGAGGAAGAAGAGGTGGGTTCAGGGACAAAGAGAGGTAAAGCAGCAGCAGAAGGTGCAGTTTGAGACTGAATCTGATCAAAGAAAAAGTTAGACATCTTAGTTGCAGAACCTTGTTCTTCTGACTCATTCTGCTGCTGACTTCTCCATTGCTTCAGTTGTAAGTCCATGGAAGAGAGAGACAGAGAGAAATGTGTTGGTTGCTTTTAGGATAGTTTTTTTTCCCCCACTTATTTGTGTCTTAGAGAGTGTGGCTTAATAAGCAAAGACAACCACAACTAAAGTCTTATGTGTTTGGCTTGTGTTGTGACCCACAAAAAGAAAGAGCTTTTCCTCTTTGTTCTTTGCAGGTAGTTTGCTAGAGCAGGCTAGAGAAAGATGAAAAGAGTTTTTATTAAGGAACTTGATAGAGGAAAAAAGACTATGAGACAAGACAGCTGAGGGGAAAAACAAAATTTAGAGTAAAGAATGTGATTTAATATAATATCTGAATGTGTTCTTGAATTAAAAACGGTTTGTTTACTATTATAACATCATGTAAGTCAGAAAACACAAAAAAGCACTGCAAGATGCTTGCAGATGGAGAGATAGTACCTGCAGTGTTTATGTTTCACTGCCTTGGAAATATCACTTCCTTTTATATCTCATTTTAATATTCCATATTAAGTAGTAGCTTAAAGGGAAAAGAGAAGCTTAAAGTGATTATTTAAGATGTTGTAATTAAAGATCCATTCAATGTGATGTAACGTACATTTCAATTTTTTTAATGCAGATGTCATTTGTTTCAGAGATTGTGTTACAAATGTATTAGATTCTGAACCTAATCACTTTGGATTTAAGTTTAACTTACTTCACAGTCAACTGGTGTGCAGTATATGACAGAGTAGACTGCATTTAGAGAGAGCTGCAATATATGTTGATATCTGGATTCTATAATATTAGATGTGAGTTGACTAACAATTTTCTATTTACAATAAACTACTAAATATATAATTAGATTAGTAAGTATATTACTATTTTAGCATTTACTGGTCTAATTATGTTTATCTTTTTTTTTTCTTTCATGCTATATGTAGATTTGAATTTGAGTTGAGTGGAAAATCTCACTAAACTACACATATCAATAGTAACTATGTGTAGTTTTGGCTGATAAACTATTTACTTGACTCTAATTTGTAACCGTCATTACTTTTATCATAGTTTACTTTATTTCCACTAAAAATAACCTGTAACGTCTATGCATATTTAAGTATTTTTCATCAATTTTGTTTTATATAAATTATTATATGGTAACAGTGAAACTGCAAATTATTATTGTGTGGTTTCTTTTTGAAGGTGTGGTGGATTGGTGGCGACTGGTTTGGTCTTTCCAAAAGTAGGTGGACTTGTTTTACAGGTTTACAGTTTTCGTTTAGGAAGACCATTTACGAGTTAAAAATGTAATATCAGTTATTGTTTTTTTTTTTTTTTGACTGATTATCAGTGATTGTTTATGGATTTGGAAAGATTATAACTCTAGATCCATAAATTTCTGATATTATTAAAGGAAAAAAACATGGAATAAAATACTACCAGAAAAGGCCAAGTAATCTGAGAGAAATTTATTAAAAGAAAGTAAGAAACATTCATTTATATCTTCACTTGGCTGAATAAATACAAAAGAAAAACAATTCATTAATTTCAAAGTATCTTTATTTGGTGGTGCCATGATAGTATTATTTTGTAGTTTTCAGGAAATAAAGTAATAAATATGAGCAAAGGACGACAACGATTTTTCATATAGGAGTACAGCCAGCCAAGATGAGAGATATCTTCGTGAGGGTTTCTTATATTCATCTACTCCCACCAGTTTCGGCGGCATTTATATGCATTCTTCCTAAATAACCTAAACTAGTTGCGTTTAGGTTATATTTCCAAAAGAAAATATCACAAAATCAATTATAGGCGGGACCAGCTAGAAAAATAGTCAATTATATCATGGTCCATGGATTACGTTCGATATTACATTTTGTATACTTTCTTTGTGTGTATATGTGGAGTCATCATATATCTTTGATAAATGTGGAGTCACGTGCACTACTAACACGTAACACCTCTTGGCACTTGTTCTGTCTCGACAATAAGAAACAACAAACCAAAACACACAATGGATGTGAAATTTGAAACAAAAGTGTGAGAAAGCTTGATGAAAACAAACACAATTTTATCTGTATAATGATGATGATGACCCATTTTCATTTGTGCAAACTACTAGACTACAATTTTATTTGTATAAATTGTTTATATATAGATTCAGATTTGTTGTTGTCTTTCTTTAGAGGACCAAAGCAGGAAAGAAGGAAAGAACATAGACGAATAATGATAGTTCCAGAAATATGTAAAGATTATAGAGGAAATTTCAGTGGACGAAGGTTGGGTAGCGTGCTAGAATCAAGACCAGATGAGATGAAAAGAGGGCCCGGCCCAAACTTCTCCACATACTTAATCGAAAAATCAGCTTAGGAGGAGCCCTAGTTTCCGACGAGGGCGCAGACAGTGGGTCCCATACTCCCGTTGTGTGATAACTGATAAGGGACCAATTATGTGTGGCTCTGTAATTTACCTTTCTACCCACAAAAGCTCCGTCTAGTTACGCTCTATGCCATTGCCAACCATTCACGTTCGCTTACAAAAGCTACGTCTTCACTAGGGCTGGGCAAAAAAAACCGAACCCGAAAATCCGAACCGACTCCGACCCGATAAAAAGGAATCCGAACTGATCCGAACCCGACATAAGTACCGAATGGATCTTGTTTTACGGTATTTCGGGTTATGGGTATTACCCGAACCGAACCCAAACTTAAATGGATATCCGAAAGAACCCGAAACTTTAAAATTCCAAAAAAACTTGTATCATATCCAGTCTAAATTTCTAATATGTTTCCAAAACGGATTAATATATTATTGAGTACCTACAATAATTAGTTATGATATAAATAACTAACTCAAATATTTAGTCTAATATATAGTGTTATTTGGTTAATATTAATGTTTATGATTGACATTAGATTTGAAGTTAAGTTACAAATAAATTTGTTTTGAAGTTTATATAATGTTGTTTTTAAAAGTTTAAATAGCACTTCTTATGTTTATAGAATTGTTAGTTGTTAACTTTAATTTTGTATGTTTCATTATGTATTATATTTCGTTAATACAAGGCTTTGGTTTGTCATTAATCATGATATGTTTAGTGTTATCACATATAGTTCATTGACAAATCTTATATGGTTGATAGATGAGTTTCACAATATTATTTTCAAGGAGAACAATATGGTTTGTAGAAGCTAAATACATAAATTTAATAAAATGATTGAAAATAGAGTGAGTTTAATTGAGTATAAATTAGTATTTTTAGAACCGATAACCCGATTAGTATCCGAAATCGAAACTATTTCGGGTTCAACCGGATCTTGGACATGTTACTAAATCCGAACCGAATCCGACTAAACCCGAACCGAATCCGACCCGAATTTTTATAATATCCGAATGGGGCTGAAATTCATGAACCCGAAAACCCGAAACCCGAATGAACCCGAACCAAAACCCGATTGGGACCCCGATTGCCCAGCCCTAGTCTTCACTAGTCATGACGAAAGAATCAAAATGAGAATTGGTAGATGTTTCCGGTCACATTGTCACCAACGCCTATCAGAATTATTCAAGTTTGGTTATATATCCAATGGTCAAAACATCATCGAAAAATATAGATATATATTATACTCCCTACGTTTCTAAATGATCCATATTTTAGAAAAATATTTTGTTTCTAAAAGATTCATATTTTACATTTTCAATATATGTAATAGTGGTAAATTGTAAACTTCAAAAATATTAATTATGTTTACAGAATTTTGATTGGTTAAAAATCATAGGAAATAGCTAAACACATAAAATAATGTATTTATTATCAAAATTTTAAATGTTTTTTTAATAAGTGTGAAAATTCTAAAACATGTATCATTTAGGAACACGGAGTACTTGATAACTATAGGGTTTATAATTTTATTCAATTGGTTATCTATTGACAGGAAGAAGTTTTGAGATCAGGAGCTTGTAAGACAGAGTGTTGAGGTCACATGTCCATGAGAAGACAAATACGTATTCTTGGGACATTGTGTCAAAACCTTTAACATAATACAACTTTTACAGCAGAAGAGCCAAGCTGAGTCAACGTGGGCCTAAAAGGCAATTAACGCCAGCACGCGGAGGCCTCACGTGATATCACATGCATGCCTTATTATATGTTCTCTTTCATTATCTATTTATGTACTATGCAGTTTTAAAAGCTTGATAACTTCTTAAACCTCAACTTTTAGATTTATATGTAACCTTTCATCATCGTATTATATGGATTCTACTCATTTTTACATAAAAAATGCTTGCTTAAATAAAGATTGAAAAAAGAAAACTACGAACTTAGCGGGCACGTATTTACTCCACGATCATGCTTCTGTTGGGCCCTGCTCGTCATATAACATTTAAATGTTAACTGTTTATAGCTTATAAATGGCCCATGTCCAATACGTATGGGCCTTAATTATGTACCCGCTGTGTTTTGTTCTTCCAACACTCGCAATTACCGGGTCTGACTTGTTCTATTCACTTTATTAATTTTTTTTTTACTTTAAAAGAATAGATATACTGAAGAAGATTCTACAATTTTTTTTTTATAAACCTTATCGGCTGATCCACTCGGCCCCAGAAAGAACGCACTTAGTGTTATAGAGTGTACTGGCTACCACACTGCCTGATCCGAGTTTGAAATACCTTCCGACTAATGCCAAATGGTGAATCGATCATCTGTTAATTCTGTTGGTGTCTTCTCAATTCTGAAGCAAGAGTAAATACTATCTCATATTCAAATAAGACAATTATTTGAATTTTATATCCGAACATCATACAACACAAATTAGTCCACTGTTAATTTCAAGTGAATTAGCTTCTGGATGACGAATGACATGTTGAATGATGGCATATAACGACATTGTGGGAAATTTTGTATTCCGATGTAAAAGTTCAGATATGAAACTCAGATAAAATTGTACAATTTGGGGATAAATCGCAGTTACCTCTTATTCGGATCTTAAAAAATGATCTCAGAATAGATCATCTCATATTCCTCTAAACATTATTTGAAAACTAATTTACTAGATGTCATTATTAACTAAATTTTCTAAAACCTAGATGTTTTGTTCATAAATGCGGACATAATGACTTATTTTTTTTAAAAATAAATATATTATCAGTTCAAAATACAATTAAAATAAATTACTGTTTATATATTCAAAATATTTAATAA